GTCGGTCGCGGAAGGGGGCGTGGCCAGGCGCCACCCCGCCCCTTCCCCGGCCGGCCTCGCGCGCTACAGCAACCGCCAGCGGGGGGAAGGGACGCCATGGATGAGGACCCGGAGCTGGAGCGGTGGGAGACGGCGCAGGGGGCGGGCGGGCGCAGGCCTTGCTCCTGCTGGTGCGGGTCCCCTTCCCCTTCCTCTTCCCCGTGTGGCCCGCCGCGGACGCAGGGCCTGCTGCAGCTCGGGGCCGGCGGCTCTGCGGCCTGTGCCGCCTGGCGAGGCCGGAGCCAGTGAGGCCTCCTGTCTGTGTCTTCCGCAGACCAGCGAAGCCTGCTAGGCGCGGGCCCGGCCGAGCGGGGAGGGCACGAGGAGAGGCGGAGGTTCCCTCAGGGGAGTGCGGGCCGCGTCTGCCCTAGGTTGCTCCTGTCGCCCTTGCAGGCTCTGGGCTAGGCCCTGCCGTGCCCCGCACTCCCTGGTCCTGGTGCCCTTTGCTTTCCTCCCACAATTTGTCCAGCCCGTTTGTGAATGCAGCTGGACCCTCGGCTTCCTCTGCGTGTGGGGGCGGCAGGTTCCTGCTTGCATGACTTGCTGTGTGAAAAGAAACTTGGTTTAGTTAGTTTTAAGGTCATGACCTGCTAGCTTCATTTTGTGACTGTCTAATTCCTGGCTCTGGAAAGTCGATGATCAGCCCCTGGTACTGTCTGTTTACTGTTTTGTAAACCCTTCTCATGCCCCCTGCCACAACCATCTCTTTTCTAAACTGAATAGGCCTAGGCTCTGTAGTCTCTCCCCTTGGGAGAGCCTTTCCAGACACTATCTTTATTGCCCTTCTCTGGGCCATCTCTACTTCTGCCTCTGTTTTAAGGTGTGAAAACCAGAACTGGGCACTGCATTCAAGGTGTAGATGCACCACAGTTTTATAAAGCGCCATAAGGACACTTTCTGCTTTGTTTACAATTCCCTTCTTAATAATCCCTCGCATTTTGTCTGCCTTCTTGACGGCACCAAGCTGATGTTTTTATTCAGCTGTCCACAGTGAAAGAAAATGTTCTGCCCTGTCTTGGTCTTTGCAGTAGAAAAATTGCTCTGTTGTTTTTTGTAATCAAAAAAAGAATGCAGACATAAGCATTGGCGTTTTCTGAGAGGTTCTTTGCGTTTAAAAAGCTTGAAAGGTGCTGCTTTAGATGTCCTGATCCTAAAAGTGAATTCACTGTAGGCAGTCTGCCTGTTATCTATCCTGCTGCATTCTGGAGAGCAGTGTATTGGAGACGGCATTCAGGTTTTTAATGAGAAAAAGATATTGCTTAATTCTGAACTTGACTGTAGAAGTGACCTGTTACCTGGAGGGCTGTTTCACTCCACCTGTTTCACTCCCCATAGGGAATTGTGATTCCCTGGCTTGGCTATGATTTAGGCACCTATTGAATTCAGGATTTTCAAGGAAACTGCAAATTCAGTTGGTCCCCATGAAAAAGCATAGGGACTGAGAAAAGGTACAAAATCAGCAGCAAGTTGGGTGGGGTGGGGTGGAGGGGAGGGCAGCTGGTTTTCTGGCAAAACCAGAAAAGGGCAGGAAGCCCTGGCATCCTGAAGGGGAGGGCAGGGGGAATTTTTGCAGTGGAGTGCAGTGGGCTGCTGCCCCCCACATGCCTCTGATTGACTGAGGGGGCCCTGGAAGTCCTGCCGCTCCTGGAGATTAGCAGATTGCCATCTGTCAATTTTCAGGAGCAAGAGGACTTCCAGGGCCACTTGGCCAATCAGAGGAATGCGGGGTGGAGGGCAGAACTGCAAAAATGGCACCTGGCCCTGCACTTGAACTGCAAAATCAGGGAACAGCTGCTACACATTCAGTAGGTCCCTAGCTATTATCTACCCCCGCTTCCCTCCATCCATCCTCTATCTTGTATTCGTGTTAGTTTGAAGTCAGGCAGAAGGCAAGGTAGATTTGCACTCTGTCGACTAACTGTTGTAGTCTGTAAGGTACAAATCTACTCTGCCTTTTGTATTCAAATCACTCTCTCTATTTTACATAGACGGCTGTGTGCATGTCCTTTCACGGCACCTAATGAAGTATGCTCAATCTTATGAAAGCTTATGCATCTTTGATGTAATTAGCTCTACTCTGCCATCTACCTGACTTAACATTAACATGTCTAAATACAGGTACCTCTCTGTGATCTAGCAAAATAACACAACCACCAAAGGTGAGAGAGGTATGCGCAGGAGACTAGTCTTCGCAATATTATTCTTGAGGTGTCTATGAAGAAACATCTGTGCATTAAGAATACAGCGTAGAGATGGATTTTTAGTCCATTGAGGAAATGTACTCCTGTACAATGGATAAATAAAAATCAAACCTCCATACAGAATGAAGAAAAACAGGGAAAGGATATCTTCTCTGTTCACTGTAAAATACTAGTGATGCATACTGATAGCAGTTCTAGTCAAGTTTTGGAAATCTAGATTGATCATAATGCAGATTGAAAATAAGCTTTGGGTTTTTTAGTTCAAATAAAAAAAAGCCTGACTTTTTATTGATGGATGTGCTTAGTGACAGATAGATAGTTAATGTCACCCTGTCATTGTGTTGTGGCAAAATTGACTGCAGTCATTTCATCAGAGAATAAAGTGACTGCTATTCTGCATTTGGTTGGGATGCGATATTCATTCTGCTTTGCATATTGTATTATGGCATTTCCAAGAGACTGCATTGAATATAAATGTATGTTCATTTATTTGACTGTCCAATCATAATAGGTCTCTTAATTTTTGGTTTGGAAACAGCCTTCATGTGCTTACCTCCTTGGTGAATCTTGTTGGCATTACACTCTTTATTGTGAGATTGCCTGGGAAGAAAGACTATATAGTTTACAGCAAGTTATCAACATTACAGCTATGCAGAGTATGATAGAATCATATCTGAGATGACACTCTAGTGATATTCCTATTAACAATCATAAAACAATTGCAGCTTGGGCCGGGGCAATGCAGGCTTCCTTCACTGCCCCGTGAGCGCAACTTGCACTTGAAGGACCTGCCTTCGTGATTCCATTATAGAAAATAACTTGTTGCTCTGACTGTCTACCTGCAATACATACAGTAGTATAGGTGGGAGAAAGTTAATAGAGTTGTGGTGATAGCTCCGAGAGGTTAAGCAACAAAGAGAATTTATTGATCCATTGAGCTTTATAGTTCTTCAGTAAGACTTTTCTCTCTTGTGATTTTGAAAAAAAATAGGTTTGAAATGTCAAACTGTACATATGGATAAAAAATACATTATAGTGATATAGAAACCTTAATAGTCTGAGTTTGGGATGGCTGTAGTATTTAGCAGTAGTGGGTACAAGTTGCATCATCTTGAATTCTGTTTTGTATGCCACATATGTTATAGAAAAGCTGTTCTACGAATGTTTTGAAAGAGTATTTTAAATATTTTCTACCTTTGAAGCCAGGTGGCTTAGAGTCCAACTGCATAATTTCTAAAATGAATTAATCATGTGTTTCTTCAATATCTATAAATATTAATTTAAGTCTGTGATACGCACTTCTCTTGGGTCTAGGGTAAATGATGAATCCTGTTGGGAAACTGGAAATCTCAATGTGAGGAGAAGGAAGGGAGGGAGCAAAGAGTTCTGATTGTTTGTCCACAGGCAGTTAAGTTTTCGGTCTGGTGTTTTGATGAGAAAACTTAATTGTTCCAATTTTCTGGTTGTGATCTCATTCAAGCAAATTCAGTTGAAATAGTGTCGCTGCTGTGGTCACCTAAGGATAGTTTTCTACGTTCTGCTTGTTCTGTTCTGTTCTGTTCTATTGTGCCAGGTTTTATCTTTTTTTATTTTCCTGTTGTTTTGTCTGATTCTCAGTTGGTCTCGTTATTTTGCTCATTTTAACGTAAATTAAAGTTCCACTGTCACCACTAAAGCTGGATGCTGAATTGTGCACTTCTTGTTATGAGACTGTTGTGCACAGTTTAAAGCAATAAAAGCTGGAAAGACAACAGTCGGTGCCCCAGGTAGTAACTAATTCAGATTTCCCATTCACCTCTGCCACTATCTGTAGCAAAGATCGGGTGAATTTCCCCATCCTTTTCCCCCAGTAAATCTTTTTTGCTGAAAATTACAGCCTGGCATTTCTCCATGAACATTTGGCTGTTAATTGCATAGGAGAAAATCAAGAATATAAATCTGAAACCTTTCACTTCCTTGTTAAGATACTAGCCCAAATTCAAATATAATGTAATGCAGGGGTGGGCAAAATGGTCTGGCGGGCTGGATGTGGCCTGCCAGGCCATTCTCTCTGGCCCGTGGGTCCCCTAAAAAAATTAGAAAATTAATATTTATCTGCCCCTGGCTGCAGCCCTCGGTGGTTTACCAAAACTCAGTAAGTGGCCCTCTGCCCAAAGTAATTGCCCACCCCTGATGAATAATTCAAGTTTAAGTTACGTTCCAAGGGATCTTGAGTAGATGGTTATAAAGCAATTAATATGAGGTGCCATTTCTGAGTAAAGTAGCAGGACGGCTATCTTACACTCTTCTATACTTGTTCTTTACCATATCCTACTCTTCACCCCCTTTACCACCAGTTTTGTCCCTAGCATAAAAAATTGAATTCTAAAAAAAATAAAATAAAGTAAAATCACCTGGACTTAAGATCTTGCATTGGGTCTTATAACACAACAACAAATATATGATCTTCTGGGAATACTATCACTTATTAGGATGGTCTTCCAAGCCTAATTTGGGGATTCCTCTATTGGGAAATTGCTTGGTGTCCTAACAAATTAAGGCCCTTATCTGCAATAAACCCTTTTTTGATTGTAAAAGCAATAGGATGAAGTTTTGAGAATGGAGTCTAACTTGCAATGTACATGTTTAATTTTAAATAATAATTCTTTAAGGTATAAAAATCATATGTTAGAGTAGAAGCATAGTTTTAGTCATTAAAACCAATGGGGAAAAAGCCCTTAATATTGGCCTAGAAATCACAGGATCACTCTGTAGGTAACCTTGCCAATGTTACATACCAAGTCATCATATATAGAGATGAAGAATATTTGGAAGGTCAGAATTTGAGCATGGCCATAGGTGTGAAGTCCCTATTAATCAGGCTGCAGGTGGAATTAGTATTC